TTTTCTTATTCATGACATTCTTTCAAACTGGCAAACAGTTCTGCTTATTATTATTTCCGTAAGATTACAGTATACATCAGCTGCTCCTTAGGAAAGATCAAGCTCCTTGGGGAGCTGATAATATTAGAATTTCCATCAGATAGCAACCTGCTTTCCAAACTGCAAGAAGGATGATTTTCTGCTCTTGATCTGACTTCCTGATGATATCCCCATTTATTTGTACCCATTTTCTGTGTTCTTATTCATGTTTATTCTTATTCCTGTTATCTTGTATATGAGTGACAAACAAACTAACTAAATAACGGGAAGAGAAAGGAAGGAAGGGAGGAAGAAATGAAAACCAAGGAAAATGAAGAGAGAAAAATCAGGAGTGGCTTTAACCAAAACTGGATTTTTATAACATAATCTAGAGCAGTTAAACAACTTTAAGGAAATCCAAAGCTTGAAAGAACACACGAATAAAGGAGAAAATAATCCCGAACAACAAAAATCAAAGCAGCAAATAAAATGAAGACTAAAGCAAAAAACAAAAAGATATTTCCTGCCTCAAATAATTAAACAAACCATGCAAGCGTCAACTCTTTGGGGGAGCTTTTCATATTCATGGTGCCACTATAGAGAAGACCATGTCCCTTGTTTTCACTGTTGGGGATGGGCTATAGCTGTGATGCCACCTATGGCACATGTGACGGAAGTGGCCTGCAGAGCCATCTCTCCGGGAACACTCGCCGTCTTTGTGCATGCAGGAGCACCGGAAACCAGAAGAGCAGCTCCCTGGCACGCATGCATGCGCTGGGAAGCTGAGCTTCCAGTTTCCGGCTCGCACATGGATGCCGGCCAGCTGGACTTCGTGCCCACATGTGCGTCAGAAACTGGAAGACCAGATAAGCGGCGTGCATGTACACACTGGAAACCAGAAGCTCAGAAAAGATGTTGACCATCAGGGGAGAAAAACAATATTTTATGCATTTATTTTTGCTCAAAAAATATTGACGGGCACTTTAAAGTGACCGACTGGCTGCTCCTCAGTGATGCTGGGCTGTGGTGCTAGGCCTATGGTGGGACTCTGTGGTGCAGCCTCTCTTCAGTGCTCAAATATCCACTTACCAAAAGCTCGTTTAGGCTGCACCAAGCGCAAAGTAAATGGCTGTGCCTGGGGCATCTCGCGCAACATCTTGGCAACTTCGTAGTGGCGGCATCCGACAATGGTTTGGTCGTTGATGGCTTCAATGCTGTCCCCAACAGAGACCGTTGGAATGCGGTTCATAATGCTACCTTCCTTAATACGCTATCAAATGGGGAAGTGGAAAAAAGGAAAAGTTTAGAATGAGAATAATAATCCTATCTATGGCCTAATGACCTTGGCTGACCTTGAAAAGTGAGGCAGGAGTAGCCATTTTTCTCAGGGTAAAAATGTCAAAATGGCAGCTGAGCAGCACAATCAAAGTTGCACCTATTTTTTTAAACAGGCAAAGCTTTGATTGTGCCATTGTCGCTGCCATCTTGATTTTTTTTTTAAACTGTACGTTGAGGAGATCTCTGTAAGAATGTTTGGGCCTGCATGGTATTTGAATGAGAAACTATTAAGAAATAATGAGGAAAGGGTGTAATTGTGTTTCTTGCAGCAACGCAAGAATTTCCTTCCCATTTCCCATGCATTTGGAATTGTTTGGAAGCCACATTATTTGTTGCTGTAGTTGATCCAAGGCCTTCCTTCCTTCCTTCCTTCCTTCTTTCTTTCTTTCTTTCTTTCTTTCTTTCTTTCTTTCTTTCTTTTTCTTTCTTTCTTCTTTCTTTCTCTCTTCCTTTCTCTCTCTCTTTCTCTCCTTTCCTTCCTCTCTCTCTCTTCTCTTTCTTTCTCTTTCTTTCTGTCTTTCTTTTCTTTCTTTTCTTCTTTCTTTCTCCCCCTCCCTTCTCTTTCTTTCTTTCTTTCTTTCTTTCTTTTCTTTGTCTCTCTCTCCCCCTCCCTTCCGTCTTCTCTCTCTCTCTCTCTTCTTTCTTTCTTTCTTTTTTCTTTCCCTTCACTCTTTCTAGAAAATTATTCTTTCATATTCCCAGTTTGTTAGTGGAGAAAAGAAGATTTTAGTGAATCATGCAAAATGGGAGGGCTGAAATTTTGTCTCTACGTTACTTTTATTGATGTGACGTGCACATGAGCTGTGGAACATTAAGAAATATCATGCAATATGAATGTTGAAAATGTCAACCAGTTTTTGTCAACTTGAAGATGAGTGGACTTCAACTCCTAGAATTCACAGAGACCTCCTCGCAACCGGTAACAATCAATTGGCTGCAATGTGATAAACTGGGATTCAAATTTAGATGACCTTGACCACACTCTCTAGCTTTCTCTCAGCTTAACCCACTTTTCCCCAACCTGTTGCCTTCTCAGCATTTCAGACTACAAAATTCATGCTGAGTAGGAATTCTCACATTCAGAGTCTGATATATTTGGAGAGCCCCAGTGAAAGGGAGATTGGCATAATCTATTTCATGGAGGAATAGGATTGGAGCGAGTTGTGGAAACATCTCTACCAGTTTGAATGTTTAGAGGACAAGGTGTGATAAAGGCAACATGAACAACTGAGAGGAAAATGGGGACAGAAATTAATAGGGCACAAGCCGAAAATGGATTTTATTGACATGGTGAATCCTCTGGAATAATTTATTTACTAGATTTATGAGCTGTCCATCTTGTCTAATTTATCCAGTCCCCATAAAAATTGCCTCATGTTGCATGTATCGGTTAGCCTTCCCCCTTGCCAACATTGAGAAACGCTGGCCCAGACCCTTCAACTGGTCCCAAATGCCACAAGCCAGCTAATAATGAGGCCACGTTATAGTTTATTTATTGTATCACAGTCTATATTTATTCAATTTCTATGGCCGCCCATCTCAGTCAATGACTCTATTATTCAAAGCTTTCATATGTAACTCAAGAGGCTGACTTATGCGTGGGATATCTGCAGGTAGAATACAGAATAACAGAGTTGGAAGGGACCTTGGAGGTCTTCTAGTCCAACCCCCTGCTTAGGCAGGAAACCCTATGGCACTTCAGATAAATGATTATACAATATCTTCTTTAAAACCTCCAGTGTTGGAGCCTTCTGGAGGCAAGTTGTTCCACTGATTAATTGTTCTAACTATCCTGAAATTTCTCCTTAGTTCTAAGTTGCTTCTCTCCTTGATTAGTTTCCACCCATTGCTTCTTGTCCTTCCTTCAGATGCTTTGGAGAATAGCTTGACTCCCTCTTCTTTGTGGCAGCCCCTGACACATTGGAACACTGCTATCTTGTCACTCCTAGTCCTTCTTTTCATTAAACTAGACATACCCACTTCCTGCAACAGTTCTTTACATTTTAGTCTCCAGTCCCCTAATCATCTTTGTTGCTCTTCTCTGCACTTTTTCTAGAGTTTCCACATCTTTTCTACATCGTGGTGATCAAAACTGAATGTAGTATTCCAAGTGTGCCCTTACCAAGGCATTATAAATGGGTATTTAACACTTTATGTGATCTTGATTCAATCCCTCTGTTTATGCACCCTAGAACTGTGTTGGCTTTTTTGGCAGCTGCTGCACACAGCTGGCTCATATTTAAATGGTTGTCCACTAGGACTCCAAGACCCCTCTCATAGTTACTACTATTGAGCAAGGTACTGCATATACTGTTCCACATTCTATTGTAGGTAGAAACATGGCTATTATAAATCAGCCTGTCAGTCTTTTATCCTATTCCCAAAGACCTACCTTGATGAAAGCATAGCCAGCCCCGTTATCTGTGATAGTAAGTCCCAGAGCATCCTCTGTTTTGGTGACCTCCACCTCCTTCGTGTCACCGCGGATGTGAGCGAAAATGAAGTCCTCCAAACCAATCTGGCCGCCCAGCAGTTTCTGCATATCTACCTTGTGGGTGTTCAACGTGCAGAACAAGATCTGGAGGGAGGTGCAAATGCATTTATATTTTATATATACCGTATAGGGAAAAGGTCTCTGTGGAAGAAGTCAAAAGGTCGGGAAATCTGAGGGAAAAGCGTTTTGGAGCCCTCTCCTTGCCTGTCGCTTTCAGTGTCAGACCTGGGAGCCATCTTTTACATTGGGGCTTCCGGCCTGCCACATTTACTGCTGTGGGGAAATGGGAGGGAGGGCAACATATGGAGTATGGGAGATATATAGTCAAAATAACGTTCTTTCCTAAGAGAGTCAAGGACATCTTGCCCTGCACCTGGGAGGGCTGTGACTGGGAGGAATCTCCAGTTGGGCCAGTGTTTGATTGGACCATGTGACAGACATGAGGGTGCTGGGCAGGGGCTTGGACTTTCATTTGGGTGGGGAAAACCTGGAAACTTTCAGATTCTTTTTTTCCCAGATGTGCCAATATGACATCTCTAGTAAAATAGAACTTTGAGGAAACCCAAGCCTCGGAGTCTTCTTTAGTTGGGGGTGTTACTTGGAATCCTGACATTTAGAAGCAGAAGTGATAAGATTAAAACAGGGAGGAAAATATGGAGTTTATACAGGCAACTTCACACTGGATTGGAAAAGACTCCCCTTTGCATAGTGAATCTATATTTGAGATTATTCTTCCCTAGCAATGCTTGTTTCCTGTTCCTCCTATCTCCCATCCTCTCCTGCCATAGACTGTAAGCTTTGTGGGAACTGAGCATTCCAGCTCAAATTACTCCCTAACTCCTTAGTCTTCTTTTATCCTTAGCTGAAGTTTTCATAGCCCCAAACGTTGCTAGCCCAGCTTTTAGTCTGCTTCCAGACACAGGAAGAGCTCTTCAGTTGCCCCTCCGTGCCTTCTCATTCCCAAAGCCTCTTTGGTGCTGGAACCTGATGAATTAATCCTTTGTGTTTTCCCTTCCTGTTCTGTTATCCTCATGGTCTTTTTCCCTTGGGTCACTTGTTGTTTCTTATGTGTGATGCTGGAGGTATTTTTCAGAATACCTACACAAAAATACCTCTCTCTTCTGGCAAGATGCTGAATATTTTATCTTGTTACTGTATATTCTTAATGGGACGCTTGCTGCATCAGTACACAGTTCTGTGCTCCTTCCTCCCCCTTTCCTTCCTTCCTTCCTCCCTCCCCTTTCCTCCCTTCTTCCTCCTCTTCCTTCCTTTCCCCTTCCTTCTTCCTCTCCTTCCTTCCTCCCCTTTCCTTTCTTTCTCCTCCCCCTTCCTTCCTTCCTCCCTCCCCTTTCCTCCCTTCTTCCTCCTCTTCCTTCCTTTCCCCTTCCTTCTTCCTCCCCTTCCTTCCTCCCCTTTCCTTTCTTTCTTCCTCCCTCCCCTTTCCTCCCTTCTTCCTCCTCTTCCTTCCTTTCCCCTTCCTTCTTCCTCCCCTTCCTTCCTCCCCTTTCCTTTCTTTCTTNATCCTAAATTCCTCCTATTCTATTCTATCCTACATTTACCCTATCCTATCCTAAATTCCTCCTATTCTATCCTATCCTACATTTACCCTATCCTATCCTAAATTCCTCCTATTCTATTCTATTCTATTCTACATTCCTTCTATTCTATCCTACATTCCTCCTATTCTATTCTATCCTACATTTACCCTATCCTATCCTAAATTCCTCCTATTCTATCCTATCCTACATTTACCCTATCCTATCCTAAATTCCTCCTATTCTATTCTATTCTATTCTATTCTACATTCCTTCTATTCTATCCTACATTCCTCCTATTCTATTCTATCCTACATTTACCCTATCCTATCCTAAATTCCTCCTATTCTATTCTATCCTACATTTCTTCTGTTCTGTACTAGCCTATCCTATCCTACATTCCTCCTATCCTATCCTATCCTCTCCTCACGACTAGCAAACCATGGTGGAGAAACCCCAACCCTTCCCAGCACAAGGCTGAGCCCCCACGTACCACACTAGGGCTGCCTCCCCTCCCCTCCTTCCTCATCCACGCAAACCCCACTGCCCGCAGCTCCCCGCATTCTGACGACCCACCAAGCCTGGGGGAAACCGCAGGGAGGCGGTCCCTTCGCGGGAACAGCGGGCGTAAGGAGGAGGAGGAGGAGAGGCCACGCCCTCCCTATGACGTCGCCGCGCGGGGATAGGAGGACACGCCTTCCCCCCGTGACGTCCAAGGCGCGTGGGCGGTGCCCTCAGGCTCCTCCCTCCTCCTCGCCTTTCTGCGCTCTCGGCGGCCGCCTCCTCCGGTGGGCCGGCTCTCGCGAGAAGGAAGAGGCGAGTTCTCGCGAGACTCCGGCGCTGCCGCAGAAGGAGACCGCTCCGTCGCTGAGGGGGGGAAAAGAAAAGGCAGGAGAAGGCGACGCCGAAGGGCGCCCGGAGTCCGCGACGCCCGCCTCGTCTTCCTTCCTTCCTTCCTCCTCCTCCTCTTCCTCTTGCCTCCCCTTCCCCTCTCCTCCCTCGCCGACCGCCGCCCCCGCGCCCCCTGCCCGCTCTTCCTCCTCCTCAGCCGCCGCCGGGACGATGCTGCGGGGCCCAGCCACCCTCCCCGCGGCCCTCTCGCTCCTCCTCCTCCTGGCCACGGCGGGGAGCCTCTGGCCGACGCCGGTGGGCGCGCAGAGCGGTAAGGAAAGGCGGACCGGAGTGGGGGGGAGGGGGGAGGCCTTGAGGGGGCGAGGAGCCGACCTGAGGCGGTGATTGACAAGGGGGAGGGGCCTGGGAGGGGAGGGGCTCCTCGCGGGGCGGGGCCAGGAGGGCCTGATGGATTCTGCCTCTGGAAGGCGGGTACCAAGGCGGATCTGGTTGGGGATGGGAGACCACCAGGAAATCCCGAAGCCTGTAGGATTTATTTTTATTTAGTTTGCAGCTGGTGTACAAGGTGACAGGACTAGGAATAAACAAGAGTAAGAACAAGGGAAATGGGTACAAATAAATGGGGGCGGTAGGGCAGGGACGGTGGGCACGCTGGTGCGTTTAGGCACGCCGCTAGATAGGAAAAGAGAAAATATGTGGGGAAAGAGAAGATACGTAGGGAAAGAAAAGAAAGCAATGGCAGGAAAAAACTCAGGGAAGGCAGTTTGTCGCCAGAGTCACCCTTTTCCCCTCCCTTAGGCATGGCTGAGGGTGGATCTGTTGCAGCAGAAGGCGAGGAAGGATCTGGAGAAATCTACCCAGGATTTCAGCATGGGAGCAGCTGCCTTTTATCTTTTGCAGGGGGAAAGATAATGTCCTTGAAGCGTAGCCAGGTTTGGCGAAAGTCATGGGGCCCCATGTCATCAGAGGGGTGCATTTTTATCTGCCCTAATCTGAGGCCCTCCAGATGTGCCGACACTACGATCTCCAAGCAGCACAGCTAAGAGCATCTGCGCCAAAGACAAACGCCTTGTGTGTCCAGTCACACTTGGCCAGTAAAGAATTCTATTCTATTCTAACAGCTAAGCACTCTGGGAATTGTAATGCCCGCACGCCCTGTTAAAATAGGTGGGAGGAGGTTGGCGTAAGATCTTGGGGACTAGAGTCATTGGATGCCAGGTTAAATTCCTTTGAAGGTACTTCACTTCAATGTTTGCTTATTAGCTGGGAGAAGATTAAAGGGATGAGTACAGAAGCAAGGAAGAGGAAGAGCGGTTATTGTAAGTTGGCTTTCTTAGGGAAAATGCCCTTGGGTCATTGGCAATAAGCTTGGCCACCAAAAATCCAATTTATTGCTATAGGATGAGTAAATAATATTGTTATGGGGTAGTCCTTGACTTACAGCCACAATTGAGCCCAACATTTCTGCTGTTAGGTGAAAAATGTGTTAAGTGAGTTTTGCCCCATTTTACAACTTTCCTTGCCACAGCTGTTAAGTGAATCACTGCCGTTGTTCAATTAGTAACACGGTTGTTAAGTGAATTGGTCTTCTCCATTGACTTTGCTGGTCAGAAGGTCACAAAAGGTGACCTGGGACGCAGCAAAGGTCATAACTATGAGCCAGTTGCCAAACGTCTGAATGATCACGGGGGGGATACTGCAGTGGTCGTAACGATGAAAAAAAAT